CAGCATAATGCATTCATCAGATACCTCCTAAAAACTATAAAAGCTTCAGGATTTTGTTAAATCACCCGAATCACACATGTGACTGTGAATAAAGAGTATTACTCCCAAAACAAACCGCTGTCACCTAAACAACTACATATATGAGAAATAAATGTCTGTATTTATGAGCAATTTGCAATAATAGATTAAATAAATAAGTAGTATTAAAATACAAGCAGTTTAACTTCAGTGCTAACATTAGCATGCTAACACGCTCACAAGGTTCCACCTCCAGGATTTAAAGTGTGCTCATTCCAGTTACGGCGCCTCAGCAGAGTCCCGTATCTGGTATTCTTCGTCACAGCTGTAATGTCTGAGTTTGTGAGGGCAGTAAGAGGTACAACAGGGTAGAACGCTGTGACGGCACACGTTGTTCAGAAACAACACATCTGTATGAAACAAACGTGAATCTGAACTCATTCACAGGTTCAATGTGAAACAAACCTACAAACATGAAGGGTTTGGGCACATGTCACAGGCTGCAGGACGAACATGTGTCGGTTCTGCTCTGAACTATGGGTCCCTCAGGACATCTGCTAATATGTGGATGGAGAAGGGCTGCAAAACAGCATCTAAAGTCCACATCAGAGCTCTCGTGCACTTACTGGTTTTAAAGTGGTGGAGCCTTAAAGCAGGGATCTCCAGCTCCAGTCCTCCTGAGCTCCTGTCCTACAGGTGTTAGACGTAACTGCAGAACACCTGACTCATGAATGGATCTCCAGCAGCTTGTTGTCAAGTTCTACACAAGTCTGTTAGTGATCCATTCATGTGAGTCAGGTGTGCTGCAGTAACGTCTAGAACCTGCAGGACAGGAGCTCAGGAGGACCGGAGCTGGAGATCTCTACCTGAAAGCATCATGCACTCAGTGGACCAAGCCTCAAAGTCTGTGACCAAGGTGAGCAACTTACCCAACGTTAGCAAGCTCAAGTAATAAAATGAAAGCATTGACCTGATGATGGGCCTTTATGCTCAGACTTCATCCTTTACTGACCATAAATATCTGCATCCAGTGTTTGTCAGGACAATTCCCTCAATACTAAAACCTCATCGTGATCCAACATCAGGGATTTCATAAAGCTGGAAAATTCCCCCCAAAGGCAACATGAATGTCTGCACTAAACTTTATCAGAACCCATCCAGGACTTTTTCAGTCTGGATCCAAGTGTTGGACTGAACAAGCGGCTCTGCAGTGCTCAGCTGTAATAAAGTCCTTCCCGCTGACAGGCCTCTTTTATAGCACCGTCACCAATCAACACATTTGGCGATGACACATTTATGGCTGATATGTGGTCTCTCAGACCGACATCAGGCCTCCTGAACACAAAACTGAGTAAACAATGAAGCAAATTCCTACAAAGGAACTTGGCTGAGGAGCTGCCGCCATCCGTCATCCTCCCCGTTGTGAGTACAGTGGCTTCTACAATGGAAACTATTTCTTTCTCCTTCCTAGACGGATAATAGCAGCCATTCATCAGAACCTCACAAATGACGAGTTTCATCGATTACCATCAGACAGAGGCTCGGTCTCGGGGACGGAAGAGCTGTCACAACTGAGCAGAACCGGGCAGCGAACGCCCCGCAGAGAGGGAAAACAAACGGAAAATCAGAAGAGGAGGAAACGGATTATCAACTCCCATCTAGGAACAATGCGCTGAAAGCCTCCATGTTTGGGCTGCTAATGACATGCACAGACCGGGAGGGGGTGGGGAGGTGTTCCTCCAGCACAACCTGTCACATCTCACAGCCGAGACAACTGCATAACAGAGAGAGATTTACTCTTATAATGAAATCCTTTGCTTGCTAGTTGCTTAGCAACAAAAACACTGATTCATATTGCACATAGCGTATGCGCCTGACACTGCATTTCTGACACTTTGGAGGAAGGTTGATTCTTGGATGAGAAAAAGAGGGCGAGAAGAAGACAGGGCAGGAGTTACGAAATGAATGCCAGGAGAGCAAAAGGCAGCGAGGGGGAGATTGGAAGTGAAAGGATGACCCGTCTCTGGCTAACTCCCACAGAGTAGCACAACAGGTTGGTGGAGCTCAGCAGCTTCACTTGGCAAAATCTGAACAAAAACACAGAATCCGACTGCTCGCTTGTATTCACACATGAGCACAGTTCGGCCGTGGACTCTGAAATGAACAGCCTCATCCTGATTTGTTTTCACAGAGGTGTTTCTGTTCCACTTCCATACATCTATAAATAAAACCCAGCAGCCAGTCTTCTGAATAAGCTCAAATGCTCAGCAAATAGAAAAAGAATTGATCCTTCATTTAAATCATTTATTAAGCAGAACTACGCAGAACGTTGGGATGTTTATGTCATGATAACGTTAATGCAGATGCCGGCCTCACCGACCTCCAGCAGGTATTTTTCTGGGATGTGCTGTTTTCTCTCTGCAGTCACCCTAACAGGTCGATGCAGACGAACGCCCTCCCTGAACCTGGTCCAACTGGAGGTTCTGCTCAGTTAAAAGAGTTTTCTCTTCAGAAGACCTCGCTCAAAAGGTAATCTGTGGATTTATCGCTATAATATCATATTGTAAGACCTTAACCGTACCGATATGAAGTTCCCTGAGATGACTTAACTTGTTAACAAGCACTATATGAATAAAACTGAACTAATTTAATGTATTTGAACTGTTGCTGTGCAGCACGTTGGGTAACTTGCATTTTTCTATATTTTTGAACATGATAAAGACGGAGTGATGAACTAAATACATCAGAGGAGTAACCACTGATGAAAGTGACTGTTGGCTGCAGCCTTAATTGCTCCCAGCTCCAAGCAAAGCATGGAAACGATGCAGACATCTCCTTTAAAAGGTCAGCGCCACCCCGCATGCAGCAGCCTTTTGCCATTTCTCTTCCTCCAAACCGCCTGTCTGAGAAATGAATGCACATACATTAAAACAAACGACTCCGTCTCCGGCACCTTCATCACAGAGTCCATTCTCAGCATTTGAGGAAGGGTACAAACTATTTTGAACTCAATAAAAATGGTTCACAGATCTTGAATAGAACCTGATTAGAGTGGGGAAAAGGAAAGTTCTCATCCAGGCCCGTCACCGGCCCCACACAGACGGAGTAATAACAGCAGCAAGGAAGGAAAAGTCTGGTAGCAGGTAAATGTAGAAGCAGCTGACGGGCTGTGAGTCCCAGACAGGCTAAACTAATCCGGACTTTTGGAAGCATAGCAACAGAAATGTTTAACTGGATAAGTTCAAGCAGCAAATTACACAAACCTGAGTCTGTGGTGAATGTAAAACATGGAAAACTATGCTAGAGATTGTGTTTGTGTGAAGATAACTGTTTTTTCATTGGCCTCACTTTTTATTCCCCCTTTGTGTTACTTCCTCTTGCCTCTGTAGGTTCATCCGAATGAAAGAATCATCTTGATAAAATGGCAGTAAATGGAATTTACACAGTATTTTGAAATGACAATTCAAAATGATCCAACATCTTGTTTTGCCCTCGTTACTCTGGATAATCCACAGAATCTACCGTGAAAAGTTCTTCAGTAGAAAGTAAATGTAGTGCAAAACGTTCATAGACCTGTGGATTATCCAGAGTGGCTGGAAAACTGCTTCTAGAAAACAGGAGGAGAAATAAAAACTCTAATGAACTTCCAGTGGATCAGAGGTAGAAACCTCCAAGACAAATATTTCAAGACACATAAAACTGTCTGTAAAGTATCTGTTACGATTGGTTCAGAAAATATGTTGATATTCAGAATGACTAATATGTAATATACACTATCATCAACCTGTTGGATCATCAACCTGATGTTCCACCAACAAGTGTCTGCTGCTCCTACACCTGCCCGAACTAAATATGATTCCTTCATCAGGATTTAATCTGAGATCAGGTTCGGTTTGATGACACCTCCCTGGTACTGCATGTGAACTAAACCAAGACCAGCAGAGTTCATTATTCAGAGCCATGCACTGTGCTCTCTGTCGATGGGGGCCTCCACACAGATTTAATTACGAGCCCATCTCATAAATCAAACTGGCTGGACACGCTGCTGTCACGCATCTGGCTGTGCTGAGCGTCACTGTGGGCGCGCTGCTGGGCTCACATACCTTCTTTTTGGCGTTACAGTGGCAGCACACGGTCCACAGGTATTTGAGAGTTCTCCACAGGAGGATTATGAAGAGACCCCCAAAGAAAGTGACCATGGAGGAGGCGAGGAAAGCCCACCACATCCGCTGGCCGTTGCTGTCACAGGGCACATCTGGTGAGAAGGGGATGATCACGTTCATCTTGGAGATGTGGATGGACGGATCCGGGTTGAATTTCTCCCTGTTTTTCGGCATTATCGACTTCTGGTCACCTGCCAGCCGCCCCCCTTCACACACAAACAAATCAACTCAACTCGGGATTCAGGCGCTTTGGGGAGCTTCGGCCAGCGCCCCCTGATGCCCCAGCGGCTCAGGCATGTCGAGTCGAGCACCCTCCGCTCCTCTGCCTCCTCATCTGGCTCCACCGGCAGCAAAGGACGTGGAAGAAAAAAAAAAAAAAAAAAAGTTGAGTCGACGGCAGTCACACGCACAGAAATATGAACTTCCTTTCAAATCAAGATCGCGGTCGTGCGCCTGGCGATGCGCGTTCCGGGCTGCGCGTCATCCGTTTGATCTGTGCGTAAAAATCGCATTTCTTAGTGCAAAACTCACGATTTTTCCGGCAGTCCCGACGAATAAAACCGGAGTTTGATTGGAATTATGACAGTGAAGAGTCGTGCTGTCCTCGCCCGCCGATGGACTCACTCCTCCACCTTGTTGAGCGGCGCAGCTTTCGGCGGCTCCGCTACCGGAGCTCCGCACGGCGCACTGTTGAATGCGCTCCTCCGCGTTAAAGGTCGCAGTTTGTCATATCCTTATCGGCGAAACGGGTTGCAGAAAACAGAAAAAAAAGAACAAATGATGGGTAATTGTCGCTCTCCGGCTCCGGCGCACCGCCTGCCACATCCATTTGTTGGAAGATGGCATCGCAGATTTACAGGTAGCGGAGGAGGAGCCATCAATAGCAGACGTCGATGCTTATCTGGATGTCTGGTTATTTATAGTGACCGCTTCATCATTTTTTTATGATTGGAACTTTGCGCTTGCAGCCACCTTCCCTTCAAAGTGTGACTGTGGAGACGTCTTCAGTTCTGGTTCTGATATTAGAACTCCTTTTCTAACTCGGTGTTAAACATCATCTGGTAATAAAACCTATAAAACATTTCATTTTGGGAGTTTTAAATTCTAGGATTTGCATCTTAATAGTCAATAAAAGCCCCATAATAGAAAAATAAAGAGGAATAAAAGAAAAATATCTTGTTTTCATGCATCCAGCTTAAAAACACGTGAACTTCTAACAGCACGTCTCAGTTTGTAGCAGAAACCAGCTGCTCGTCCTTCTAAAATACATACAGTATGAAAGTACACGGCTATGTCAGTAAATAAAAGTTTTTTTTGTCTAGAATAGGTCCAGTAAAGTGATGACATGTTACCAGTCCTCCCCTACGCGGTGAATTCCTCCCCCTCGTGGACAAACCGTGGATTGATCACTGGTGTTTAATACCAGCCCTCCAAAATCAGTCAGCTGTGGAAATTACTCAACAAGTTTCCAAACAGAAAACACACACACACACACAACGTGCAGTCCATGAACGGTGCTCTGTTTTTAATATTTTATAGAAACCTTCATTTGGGAGGAAGAACCTAAAAGCGTTTCATCCGACGTGAAGATGAAATGTTGTGAAGTTCAAGACGTGTTTCGCTGACAGCCAACCATGAGCCAGAAATGAAATATCCCTTCTTCAAAAAAAGAAAATCCACTTGACAAAGAGGAGCAACATTGGCAATAGCAGTAGAACACAGGAACCCGGGTTAAACGAGCAGACCTGCTCCATGGGTTACCGCACAAGCTGTCGTGTTAATAAAGCCAAGAGTGTATAGAGATTAACAAACATATTCAGCTTGGCACAAGATTATGTTTTAGGACTGAAATGAAAAAAAAAAAACAACATCAGACAACATAGTAAAAGACAGACTGTGACATCATGTGAAGGGAATCTGTCACGTCTCCTCTATAAATAAGAACATTAATTGTAAAATATCATCCTTCCTATCGACTAGACAACTACATCTGTATAACAAACAGGTTCATAACCAACATCTTTGATTTGATTAGATAAATTAAATGGCAGGAAAATGCGTATAAATACAGAGAGAGGAACACAGTGGTCCATTTTAACTTCATTTCAAGAATAAGGTCTTCAGTTCTTCCTGTGGTCCAACATGTTCGAGGGATTAAAGGAGTGCTAACAGGTATAAGGGATGATAAAACATTCAAGTATTAAATACTAGTGTAAACAAATCTATCTGCAGTACAGTACGTTACTATTGTAGTGGGAGTATTGCATGATCACCATCAGTGCTGATACTGGAATATGAGAAGAACTACTGGACGTTAACCACAGACGTGTCTGCGGCGTACCCATTTATTATGTATCCCATAATAAAAAATAAAAAATAAAAAAATCACATCCCGTCTAGTGTTCTTCTGCAGTGAGAGGTGAGATTTCTACGGTGCTCCGTCTGGAATCCACAGCACTTTGCTCTGCTCCTGCTCCACGATGGTCATGATCTGAGTGCAAATGTAGGAGACGCTGCCTCCTTGGACAACGCCTGCAACACAGCGAGGGAGGGGAGGAACATTTACATGTGGAGCAGTTCTTCTACTACACAGAGACATCCAGGGCTGCAGCTAGCTGTAGGGGGGTTATGATGCTCTCATTTTGGATAACTGATGAATTGTTTGCCTAAAAAAATATCAGAAAACTGTGACAGGTTGGCAGCTAATGATTATTTTCTTGATTCTCCTCGTGGAAAATTCAAACTATGTTCAACAGTCAAACCTTACTATCGCATCAGACAAAGAAAGGCAGCAAATCCTCCCCAGACATCCAACACAAACTGCTCAGTACTTTTCTTTAAATTCAATCACTGAGGAATTGTTTCAGCTTTAAGAAGAAGAACAAAAAGCACATTCCCAGTTCCAGGAGCCCAGTGTGTCTTCGTTATGCTCGTATTGTCAGATCAACAGGGACAAACTGAAAGTCTTTTAGTTGGTATAAACTATATTTACTATAAATGAGGCAGGAATCAAATCCTTCATTCAGTCTCCTCATCATTAAATCTCCTCCTGGACCAACAGGACCGTGGAGCCACCACTGACTTCAGGTCCAGATGTTGGTGATGAACTGGTCCTCAGGTGTGATCAGCTCCACTTTATCTACCGCCACATGCTCACATTATAACAGCTCATGATTGCACTGCTCATCATTGTGCTGCTGCCTCTCCGTTAGCAGGAATCTACGGTGTGTTCATTTCCAGACCCTTCCCCATAAGTTGCCTCCTTTAACGCAGCCATTAATCAGCCGGACAGTCGGCCTGGCGGCTGCTCCAGATAGCAGAGCCTTAACTCTGATCTGTGAAAGAACTCAGAGACACTGTGCTCCGGAGCCTCAGATGACCTCCAGACTCAGACAGACATCATAAAAACACTAAAGCTGTGCTCTGCTCCACGGTGTACATAAACAGCGCTCCCTCCTCCCTGCTCAGGGAGCGCTGGGTGTTCCTCCACAAGCTGCACTGGTACCACCAGACATCACTGCCTCCATCTGTTGATGCTCCCTTCTAATTTTACATGACTGCTATAAAATAACTTGCAAATTAATGAAGATGATTTATAAGATCACAGCCAAACCAGTGTGACTTTAGCTAACTCGTAGGCTAGTCATCGCTAGCCGTTTCCCTGGAGACACTAGAGTAGGGATCTCCAGCTCTGGTCCACGTGAGCTCCTGTCCTGCAGGTTCTAGACGTTTGCAACACACCTGACTCACATGAATGGATCACGACCAGACTTGTGTAGAACCTGACAACAAGCTGTTGGAGATCCATTCATGTGAGTCAGGAGTGTTGCAAACATCTAAAACCTGCAGGACAGGAGCTCAGGAGGACCAGAGCTGGAGATCCCTGCATTAGAGTGATTCATTCATTGTTTGAGCATCTAACCACCTAAACAGTCACATCAATGATGACAAATTCACTTACAATGACAACATCGACATTTGCAAACCGGTGTTGATTATTCTCTCAGATGATTCTGTCTCTGGGAGCCTAAAATGATTTGTACCTGAACTGGCCTGAGTGCATTTCCACCAACCTGTGAAGAAGCGGCTGTACTCCTGCTCTACCTTCTGCGCCGCCTCGAACTGCTCCTTGGAATGTTTCTGAGAGAGTTTGTCCCGCAGGTACAACGGGTCCTTCTGCTCTCTGAGGAGACAACATCCGCAACCCGTCAGCATCCAGACATACAGACTCACAGCGAGGCGCAATACCAGTGCAACAAACCAGTCTGATGAACAATGTTGTAAATTAGATATCTTGAGATTACGCTGGATGTCATCATGTCGTTACGACCTCGCTGGGGTTTGTTGCTTAGAAGTTGTAAATAGTTTTCAAGAAATGTACTTTTGAGTCCGTTAGGAACGCAAGTCTGAGCGTTTTAATGTTTGCATTGTGAAGATGGAAAGTTAAAAACCTGAGATATAAATTAATTTACCCTGATTTCACTGCATGATCACATTTGCATTAAAACAACTGGAAATAGGAACGTATCTGCAGCACAGGTGCGTTTTATCGACCTTCTACTGCCAGCAGACAGAGCTGTGGTGCACATCAACGAAACAGTAAGTTCAAAAAAGCAAATTATGGCGAAATTCTACTGGAAAAAAGAACAATATACTGGTCTTAAGCTCACTCAGACATGAGTATTAATATCAACAGCATGTTATCAAACTGAAGTAAAAATCCTGTGCATCCACTGAAAAATATTCTAATTTAATTTAACAACAGATTAAAATGTTTGGATTTTAAAGGAAATGTCGACATAGCTGGTGGCCAAACTCTCCCCATCAGTCTAACAGCAGAGTCTCAGTGAAACCTCTCTACTTCAGACCCTTCCAGTTCACTCCATCGCTCCACATCTACACGTTTTCTTGAGACGGAGTCATGTGACCGCCGGTCTTCACCTTCCGCTGGGAGCCTCCGACCTAACCCAGAATCACACTCCCTCCCTGGCGCTCAGTATGCAGCCGACATATTGGCCTGCTGATGCCTCCCAGAGGATAAAAACCCAGAAAAAAAACACAAAACAACAAAAAAACCCTTGAGCTTCTGTCAGTCGCTGCAGCAGGCAGGCGGTGGGAGGTGCGCTTGTGTGTACGTGGAAACTGCGGCGGGTGGGGGCGGCGGTGGCGGCGAGTGTTTCAGCCGCCCACGCCGCCGAGCGGAGCCACAGACTCGGCGAGCCCCTCCCTGGACAGCTGGCACTCAGCTGATGACAGTGAAGGCTTAGCAGGAATCAATCTCAAACATGTTTGCCTGCTGCACCGTTTCATAGATTTGTGTGTGTGTGTGTGTGTGTGTGTGTGTGTGTGGCCGAGAAAGCCTGTTCCTGCCAGACCTGAGTGTGACCTCATTTGTGTCCGTGTGTGTGTGTGTGTGTGTGTGTGTGTGTGTGTGTACATGTGCATAAAGTACGCCGCCGAGGGTTCAGCAGATTTAATCTTCCCCATGCGATTACAAATGAAAAAGCAGAGGGGTCTCTGAGATATCGCCGTCGGCCAATGAAAACCGCGGCAGGCAAATAGTTTTTTGTTCTATACAGATAGATACGATTACAGCAGCAAGGTTCCTGCAGATGTCAATTTCCTGAATGTCTGTTTTTGACACACACACACATCAAGAATTGTACTTCCTGGAAGGGGAAGCAGCAGAAACATGTTTTTTTTTATTTTTTTTTTAGAGAAATGTAAAATCTAATCATTGTAATAAATTAATTCAACGTCCAGTCAGCTGAGATTAACAGATGATTACATTACATGCTGCAAACACTAAAGTATATTGTGTGTTAATGACTTATGAGCATTAGTATTTCTGTATTTGAAAATCCTCTGGCCTACATTTCTGTGAAACAACCTTTTCTGAAAGTTATTATCCTCACATATATATTCAGCCTCCAGCAGCAAAAGCTTTGGATGAATTTTAACTCAACTTAAAATGTAATTGGGTAAACAGCAGCGGCACCAGAACACAGCGCGCTTGACATGTCTTCAAGCTAGAAATAAAAACAAAAAGCATGTGAATGAAATGTCTTCAGAGGCATGGCACTACTCACTTTATCTGCTTGGCGTTTTTGTAGCGAATGAATACGACGATTGGGTAGATGTGAACGCTGTGGAGACGCTCGATGGCGTGAGGGGCGATGTCGAGTAAACAGTGACAGTCCTGAGAGAGAGAATGACAGCAGCGTGAGGGATGGAGGCGGCGGTTCAAAGCACAGTGTTGCAGAGAAAACAGCAATCCTTATGGTTTGGATGCATAATTAACATCCAGCATGAAGGAAAGATTTATTCAGCCAAACTAACTCCAAACTTGAACAAATCACGATGAAAAGATCATTTGAAACACCTCATCAAACAGTTAAGTTATATTCTGATCAGCGTAGAAGTTCCTCCAGACTAATATTACACCTAAACTCACTGACCTTCTCTGTGATCTCTTTAATCGACGCAACAGTCGTCACGTCAAAATGGCCGCTCCTCCGTTTGTAGTCGATGAACACGCAGTCCTTCACTCCCCGCTCTATCGCCTGCTGAGACGCCTTCATAATTTCTGCAAGTGAAATTAATCGTTTTGAACAAAGTACAGTCGTGTATGTCGCTATGTTAAGGCTGTTTTTATGGGTTCTGTTGGTTTGTCCTAAAAACCTGTCAGATAGCAGGTTTAGGATTGTTAAGGGTCAGATTATCGAGTCACGACTGTCGTGTTATTTATAGATTCAGTTCTCTCTAATTAACTTTATAATCCAATCTCTTTGTTCCTTTTTAAGTAGCTCTTGTGAAACCCTTCCTGTGCAACAACACAAATCAGACGGACACACGTGAAATCCTTTATGAATAAATAAACTAACGACAGATTCTGAACCAGCTCACCAGGTAGACAGCGGCAGAATTTGGCAGGAGCCTCCTTCACCAGCATGTCCTTACTGGCCTCCACTAAGGGACCCAGGATCAGCACCGGTCTGGGGGACGAACACTCCACCTTCTGGACCCGCTGGTACATCAGGCTCACGCCGTCTGAGCAGGAGATGGAGAAATGCAGTTTATTTCCAAAATACACAAAAGATCATCGAGCTACAGCTGCTGCTAACAACCAGGTATGAACTCCTGGGAAAGGTTCTGTTGAGCCCACATGTGTTTTATAGAATCATCCTGCTTTACAGCCACACGTTCATACATGAGAGCACATTTATATTCATGTAAAGACACTGTAAAGCACATCTGCATCCTTAAAATGTGGATTTCCACTGATATTACACGTGACAGTCTGCTCAGAGGATTTGGATGGTGCAACTACATCTGTGAAGTCTCCTGTGTCTGAACAAGAAGCTGTGCAAGGTCTGATAAACTGAGCGAAGTGAGGATCTAGAGCCTGAAAATGAAGTGTGGGGGTTCAGAATTAGAAAGAAAGAGCGCTCCAGACCTCTATGGCCTCGTCCACACACAAATCTCAGACCAATGTCTGACATAAAATTAATTCGTTCAGAGCCAGATCTCATCAACACAGAAGAAGAATGCTGGAGTAACATCATCTGGTTCTGCTGGATCTATTTGTCCCTCACCATGTGGCAGGACTGTGATGCTAAATGTTTTTAAGTCAACGATCTGATGCTTTCTCCACCACACACACTCTCCAGAGTCCACTATTACTAATCCTTTATGCTGTTTGGCCTGGACGTTTCTGCTAAACCTTCTTGAGCGATGGGTTCTTACCCTCTGTGAGGGGTAAAGAATCTGTGCTTATGGCATCCAGAGCCGTGAGGTCCTTGCCATCTTTGGACCCGCTGCGTTTGTGCTTCAGCCTTCGGCGGAAGAAGGACCTCCGAGCAGCAGCAGACAGAGTCTTGCTGGTGCCGTTATCGTCCTTCATATCAGCCATGCTGTGTCTCCTGTAGAACTCCTGGTCCATCCTAACGGAGAGAAACAAGCATGAACTAAGACGTAGTCCAACTACTCCTGAACATTTAAGCCTGAAGAAGTCCTCGTTGAGAGTAACTGGAAACGATGTGCTTCCTGCGGCTAATTAACAAAACCTCTGGTAAACTACATCATGAGGTGGACTTACATGTATTTACTGGGAATCTGCCCCTTCTCCAGCTTCTGTGCGTTCTCATCTAGCTGCCAGGCCATCCAGTAGCCGAAGTTTCCGTTTGGTAGCGTGTCCTCAACATACAGGATGTCGTCCTTCTTAAAGCTCAGCTCCTGCTCTGCTTCTGCCACCTTCTCATAAAGTGCTCTGACAGAAGATGAACGACACAGGAGTCAATATGAACATAGTTCTTAACCTTTGGTGGGATCAAGAGACAACTTTATAGAACATTATAAATATGTGAGTGCCTCTAAGATTCAGCCCTGTTGAGCCAAAACTAATCACCTAAACTTGATTCACATCTTTGTGTCCAACACTGGAACTGATGTTGTGTTCCTGACAGTCTGACGCATGTTCTGTTGGTTTTACTGCACATTACAAAACTCAAACACGTAACACAACTGAAGCTGTTTTATTTCTCTGCTTTCAAGAGTTTGATGAGTACCTTATAAAAAATCCATCTCCAGGAGACTCCTTTATTTCACCAAAGCTGTGCGCGCGGTTCTGGACCTTGAATGTGATTGTTTCAGCCGGCTTCAACAATTCCAGGTAAGCGTCTTCTTTCGTTTTGTTCTTCATGCTGATGCCATTGTACTGTTGGAAAACAGAGATGACAGCGTCGACAAAAGGACACGGAGCTCTTCTGCCAACACACAGTGACTCATCCTTTTCAGCAGCAGCGAGTCAAACAACGCAGAAACTAGAATCTCCACTTCTGCCACCCCGTCGAGCTGCTGTTTACATCCATGTCACACTTTGAATACATTTAATAAACAAGCATTATGTGTGTTTTTGGCCAAATGGATGTTTGATTGCAGTAAATAACTTCCCTCAGAAACATGCCGTCTTTACTTTACAAATGGACGCCTCACATACGTCTTCAAGCCGGCAGCACTATAGATCTGTTAATTAGTACGCTTTTGAGATGAGAAACCAAATTAGGAACCAACCAAATGTGACACGTGTTCAAAATATCACCTTCTGTTTGCGTTGTGACGCTGACTGTGTCTATACAGAACATCAGGGTCTTCTAGTGACGCTGACCTCTGGGATACAACACACTCCTGGTTTTATCGTATCAGATATTTGTGTGACATTTTGGCAGAACTAGTTTATAAACTCTTATGACCAAAAACATGTGTGTGGTGTCAACTTCATCAACAAAAACTGTGCTGAAGAAGATTCATCGACGGCCGGTTTATCCACAACAAACACAAACATCTAACAACCCGGTAAAGTAAGACAAACTGTGAATCGAAACAGATGTTCTGGACAGACAAACGGACAAAGTGTTGGTCAGCCAGCAGCAGCATCTGTGGAGTCACTGCAGAACGTCTCTGCTGCAGTAGATCTGCTGGTTCCACTGCTGTTAATTCGGTACCACAACATGTTAGGCGGTAACGTCTCTCTCTTCATGACTGAAGGGAAATAGACGTCTGAGCTAAAGTCTTTTCAATGAGAGAGCTGCTGAGACAAACGACAGAGAAGCCGGCAGCAGCAGCAGCACGTTTATAAAACAGTCAGGTAATGCTAATCTAACTCGGCTACTGTGACACAGGTGATGTGGTGTTACTTTCAGTCGGACATAGTTCGTGTTAGTTTCAGAAAGAAGAGCAGGATTAACCACGATGTTCCATCTTCAGAGTTCTCTAGATGTTAATGAAGGAAACAGGCCTAATGTGGAAAAACTGTCTGAATGTTTTCTGGTCATTTAGCGTCTCAAGCTGAACTCAGACAGTAAACAGGACTAAAGTCAACCGGTCAGTGACTCAGTGGCTGGACGAGTCAGTAGAACGTAGTCATGGTAATGCTAATGCTAGTTGAGCAGGACGGTCTAAGAGCGTTTCAGAGTTTGGAAATGATAACATTAACTGGATTTACTGAGGAGTGTCCATCTGTTGTATCACTGCACAGCAGAAGGATGCCGAGCATTTTCCACTAATCTTGCGACAGACGAGAATAAAACACGTAACCGGGGCAACCGCCATACGCAAAGTTATCAGCCGCTTTAGCCTTGAAGTGCTTAGATAATGTGTTTAAATTAAAGGGAAATAAAAGTTCTTTATTGTGTATATACACCAAACTAGACTGACACTAATAAAACTCACATTATTAGCATTAGCTTAAAACTAATTTTAGGCAAACGACCGTAACTACGTCAAAATCAGGTGCAAAAATTACCACTGGTGTGAGGTCACATGACCACCAAATCCTAATCAGCTCATCCTTGAGTCTAAGTGCCTGTTTGTGCCAGATGTAATGAAATTCCCTCCAGATGTTCCCGATACATCACATACACAAGAATGGAGCAGATGTGAGGTCAGTGACTGATCCTTGACCACCAGTTCACCTGCAGGGCCGAGTGGGCGTTTGAGCCAAATCTGGAGAAGATTCCCTCAAAGCGTTCTGAGACATGTTGTTCATAAGAATGAAACAAACCCTGCTGTCACTAGCACAAGAATAAAGCAGCTTATTCCTGACCCGTGTCCAGCTAGTGGTTTAGTAATTAGTATTGTTCACACGACAACCTTAAAGCTACTGAGAAACGCTGCTGATACCTCCACTATCAAGTCTCCAGCCAGCAGCCCGTCGGCGCTCTTCGCAGGGCTGTCGTCATCCAGACTCTCCACAAAGATGCCATAAAGGTTGCCTCCACAAATCTGAACTCCCAGCTCCACGTGGATCCTTTTCAGCCTCACCAGCCGAGACTCTGAAGTCCTGTGGGTCAGTGAACCAGGAAGCCTGCAGAAAAACCCCACAGTCAGTTTCTCTTTCCGTCTACTGTAACCCCATCACAACTCAGAACAAAAGGTTTATAGTCTGTTCCTGTTGGCTTTGATAAAAACTAAATTGCCAGCTGTCAGAAAACAGCAAACAGAAAACATCACAAGTCAAACAGAACAAAACTACAGAGCCCGTCTGGTGACATCGATAAGAAATAAAAATAACTCGTTCCCACACATCAGCAAATCGTGGCCACCAGTTATTAATGCGCTGGAACGACATAATTATCACACAGTGTTTCATCACAAGAGATCGCAGGATATCAGCTTAGTTCATTCCAAGGTTAAAATAAAATGAAATGAAATCAAAATGCTCCATGTTTCATGCAAGTACGCCCGTTATCCTGAATCCACAGCTGGTATGACCGCACTGTGAAATTTGCTCCACAACTTCTCTTGTTTCTTCATATTAGTAATGCGAGGCCACAATTTAACGATGTCGTTCCCACGCATTAATAACTCGTGGCCACAATTTACTAATGCGTGAGAACGAGGTATTTTTATTTCTTATCGATGTCACCAGTCGGGCTCCGTACAAAACATATGACGGCACTAAAAATAAAATAAGCGGTGACGGGGAATGAGGCAGTACCTGAAGGAGCTGTGAGGACTGGTGGCAGGAGTCGTCTGTTTGGATGGCGGCGTCATGGTGCCCTCGTCCTGCTCGCTCAGCGTGTCCACGGTGGAGTGGTTGTCTGGGGTGGTGGCGCCGCTGTCTCGGGGCGTCGGCTGGTTGCTGATGGATTCCATTCGAGAACTTGGGAACGGAAAACAAGTGGAGTCAGAATCTGTTCACATTATTTATGAGTTACTAACCAAAAGAAGACAATACAGTCATCAGTATTTAAGAATGCAAACTGCTGTGTTGTGCTAATTTGAATATTTCCCGCTGAGTGTTTACATTTTTATTGTTATTTAATCTCATTTCTTATTGACGCAGTAGGTTGTACTCGTGTTTTATTTACTGGGAACACGGTGGAATGTTTTTATGTGTTGTGCGTATGTAGCATGACGTTCGTTTACTGTGTTTTCTTCTCGTCTCCCACGTACCCTGAGCGAGAGTGATTGCCCAGCTGAAACATGTGAGGATTGTACTGAGCCAGGATGGTGACTGTGTCACACTGCTGCCCGATCACCAGCCGCGCCTGCTGCTCGTTGGCGTTGCGAAGGTTGATTCCGTTAAACTGGAAGCAACAGGGATTCATTAGAAACGGACAGGAAAGATAAACCACAGCGAGATGAAGTGTGGTGGCTTCTGTACCTCGAGGAGCTGGTCTCCGTACTCTAAACGAGCTTGATGAGCGATGCTGCCTGCTGTCACTTTGGACACAAACACTCCGCCATTTTCTCCACTCACGATGGAGATACCCAGAGGTTCTGCTCCTTTCTGCACCGTCACATTGCGAGGTTCCTCCAAGTACGGCCTTGAGGGGAGAAAGGAGGACATTTTGTTAGATGCAGTATTTGGACGTCTGTGAGACGAGATCGCTCGGCAGGATGCAGCATGCAACATGAACAACCTTTAAAGAGGAAACGGACGCATACGATCAGCTGTTTAAATGCAACGTACAGCTGCTGAATTTCAACTTGCATCTGATAATTCTGTCAAAACAAAGATGCATTGCGAGCCTTTGGGTCAAAATGGTCCAAACAGTAATATATAGGAGCTGTGTGGGATGTGCAAAGTGCATTTTAAAGTCCAACTCAGTGTCATGCAATCATTCAAAATGTATCAGCAACAAGCAGAGGAGGAGAAGATGATGACTTCAAGGGATGCACATCCAGTTTATTATTAGATTTATTGAACATTCAGACTAGTTTAACACGACTGCTGCTACGTGGGGCGAGATCATAACATGTATGTATGCAGTGCGTACACAGAGGGTCTTGAGATCTGTGCTCGTACAGTCGTGCAGACGGTGCACATACTGCTGCATGTGCCACAAGCAGCACAGGACAAACCTCAAGCTCCTTAAAGAGAAGAACTTTGGCTTAACTGCCAGCGGAAGTCTAACAGAGGAAGTGCAGTAAGAGACAAATCTGAGAAGCAGACGGAGAGAAGAGAGGGAGACGATGTTCACCCGAAGCAGGAGAGAGAGACTTCTGGTTATAATAATGATAAGCAGCAGGGAAGGACGAGATGAGGATGAAATGATAGATGGTGAGCCGGTGTTCTAACAGTGTGAGATAGGAGCTCACAGCTTTTGTTTACTGCTTTACAGGCACTTAATCACAATGAACCAGACAGAAGTACAGACAAATGGTGGAAAACATGTCGTGTTCTGCTGAAGGATGGCAGTATAATGACCCGGACAGGGGCTGGCCTACCCATCCTTTCGTCTGTCGCCAACTGGAGCAGGGCTGACTGATATCCTGGGCTGGGTGGAAATGGAGCTCTGCGACTGGCTGCTGGTGAAAGACGACGTCTCGAGGTTGACGGGGGACATCGGAGGTGTCGGGCTGCTACACTCCGAATGCGAAAGGGAGCCTGGAGAAGAGTGTGCAGGTATTCAGGCCTGGTGTTTACAGCCCTAACATTCACTCACTACATCAGATGATGAAGCTGCCTCACTGAGCGGTACCTCTGTCAGAGCCGGTGGAGCGAGGATAACGAGCTGGAGGGATCTTAATGCGCTCTGCCCTGAACTGTAACGTGCCAGAGGAGCCTACAGAAAGAAACAGGAAGTTCATTCAAGAATCAGATCACACTCATCAGTTTCTCACCTGACTCTGCAGGTATCTGGACACATGGACGCAGGGACTCTCTCAGGAAATTGCTTAGTTACCATAATAAGCGGTTTTTCCTGATGTGGGATACATGAAACAGGGCAGCTTATGAATCAGATGGATTTAAATGCATCTCATTCTGTGGTCAGTTGAATTGCGAGCCGACCGTCTAAACACCCGTTAAATGTGTAATAAACACCAACACCTCTGCTCTGTACAGTTATCGTTCCATAAAAATCAAACTATATGTCATTTCTTCTGATCTTAGCAGGGATATTATTTCAGAGAGCACCTCACTGATGTAGCCTGGCACTCCTACAGCATAAGCAGGTTAAAACAAATCTAAAACAATGCAGCAGAAGAGGTCTCGGTTTTTTTGTTCCATGCTTTCTTCTTTTTTGGCAAAACTCAACATGACCCACAATGCAACTCGGCTGCTGATGGTCTGGTCAGAGACGTGTGTGTGTGTGTGTGTGTATATAGGTGTGTGTGTTATGCTCGTAGTGCTGATGGTGGCCTTGAGATGGAAACCTCTGAACAGGTCAGCAGCAGGCTACCCAGAAATATATTTCCTTCTACCTCCAAAGACTGTTTTCACTTTCAAACTTGTAGTCTTAAGCCTGAACCAACCTCAGTGGCATCATTAGAGGCAGATTTTGTGCAGCGCAGCAGTCACAAAGGCTTCCCACATTTCTTTTTTTTTGCAGTAGTACCTCTCTGATGTGTGAAATAATTGGAGTAGCATTTTAAGGCGAGGAAGGTCACCTCCACGAGGCATTGTGGGAAACCCAGTGATATTTCTGCTCTTGTTTTATTGGAATCAGAAGCTCAGCGATCAAAATCCCATTTAAACATTTCTACAGAAACAACGATCTGGTTGTTTACTAGTTTCTAATTATCACTATTATCATCAGAACTATTTGCAGTGAGGTCTGTGGATCATCCAAAGCAGCCGAGACATCGTTTCTGGTTTCTCAAAACATGGGAAAATCAAACTAAAACCATCTGCAAGGTCAGATTCTTGTAGAGAGAAACATGTGGATAACGTGTTAAGCTTTACAATATACAACAGATAATTTACAAGACATTTAAAAAAGTTCTGATTGGTCTAAACTAGGACACCGTACGTACTTAGTCTGGCGCTGGAGGGCAAGGAGTGAGTGCTGTGTGGTGGTTGGCTGCAGCTCGTCTCAGCGAGGTCTCCAGTGCGCTTGTGGCTGAGGTCCAGGCTGAGGCGACCTTGATGCTGGGGGCTAAAAGTGGAGAAAGCGGCCTGTGTAAGTCCCCCGGTGGTCAATTATTCAACCCAAAGCAAGATATAATTTGCTGCGTGCCATCTGTTGGTGAGATCTGGGGCAGAGTACACGCTGTTGTTTTGTAAAATAAATGCATCATCACAGGACTCGATAAACCAACGTTAACACTGAACAAATGTAAAGACTGGAACTATGACTACGGTTAGTCTCATAATGATCTGTTAAATCTACAAATCGTCAGTGATTGGACGGTCCAGTGGCCGACACGTTGGGGCACAAACACCAGGGCAGCAGATTCCTGGTTTGATTCCCGGCTGGCTGAACCAACTGATGCTCTTCTGCTCTCTTCTGCATTTCCTGCTTTTTCTCTGTTTTTGTTAATTAAAGGCAAAATGGCCAAACTGAAAAAACAAAACCAATCTGTCTCAACAGCCTGTTTTGTCAAACTAAGAGACTTAGAGACTGAATCAAGTCATCCAGGTACCAATTAACATTTTTTATAAATGGCAGCAAAATTCTTGTTTCTTAATCCACTCAGACTAAAGAGTGACAAACAGTTTACTTCGTGTGAGGAGGTGCTGGACTAACTCACAATCTGGATATATGGAAAAATATGCACGTAAATAATAAACTGAATGATGGCTGGATGTGATTCAGCAGCAAAATGTCTCCAGTGAAAAGTTATTTGGTTCAAACAAAGAAAAGCTGGCAGGACACCTGGTGTGTGAATGCGGGTGGATGCCTGAGCTGGGAGCTGGAGGACAGTTGCTGGTCTGGACCTCGTGGCTCCAGGCGGTGTAGACGGGGTTCCTCATGACGGCCGTCACAGCAGGACATGGAGCTAAACCTCTTTGTGCTGCTGGGTCTGGAGGAGCACATGGTGACATCAGAGATCTAATCACACTCAGAAGCAACACAGGTCACATCACATTTCCATCCTACATTAATTTCTACTAAAGCACAAACTGATTCAAGCATGTGTTTGGTGTTCTGGTTCCACCTCCAACAGACCTGCATGGTGCCTTTAATCAGAAGTTCTTGTTTGAACAGTAAAAACAGTCATGCACTGTTTGGAAGTGGAGAAATCACTGTCATAGCGTGTTTTATTGCTGTATTTAGCACATTAGCGAACTACCAGACTATGATCTGTGGCGTGTTATCACTTCGTTTGAGAATTAACTTTTTACTGCACTAAAAACGTGACACGTACCTTTTTTTGGGGCTGATTGTGGGAAAAATTTCCAACAACAAATTTACAAATATCTAAGACTCTTAAAGTGACTAAAGCATGTTGTGTTTAGATGCTGGTAGGAAACCAACTTACTAAAAACCTCCCGGATGTAAAAGCAAAACAGAAGAAGCCAGACTGTGACTTACGTGCTGCGACGCTGCCGTAGCTCGGCGGTGCAAATTGCATGCTGTACCGATTAGTTCGCATCGGAGAGAAGCGTAACAGGTCCATTGGTTCAGGGGAGTGTTCGTCGTTGGAGAAACTCTGCACCTGCAAGAAGATATCAGGAAGCCAATAAGGTCTGGACCCGTGATTGTTTTCTTCATCATTTTTCCACTCAGTTAACTAATTTTATTGATAAAATAGCAAACATTCATGGAGCAAAAAAAAGCAAATCCTCACATTTTTTTTTCTATTTGGCTTTTATGTTTATTGGCACTTACTTTTGAAAACAAGTGAGCGGTTCGTTTGGAAGCCATTTCACCTCTAAGTAAGGACTTGCCATGAGTTTAGAAAGTCTAGAAACCTGCAGCTTTCCAGAAACATCATCACCCCACAGAGGATGCCAGATTACAGAAGGACAGCGTCTAAGTTACCTGCATGGGGACGGGGATGTGTAACGGAGTCACATTTCGCCGTAGCGCCGGTGCAGATTTGGGCCGGTACCTCCTCTTCTCCTGCACCTCCGTCCTGCGTCGACTCCCCTCCTCCTCAGCGGGTTTCTTGGAGCTGGTCTTTGTCTCTCCTGGAGGAGCGTCGGTGTAATAGAGCTGGTTTCCCACCTCTCCCTCGTCCTGCCGGCTGGCGGCTTGGGCCGGGGAGGCCGGCGGCGTGCCAGTGGTGATGGTGGAGTCGGACGCCGAGCTGTTCTGCTGCCGATGTTTGAACCTAAACGAGTCGCTCCTGGCTGGCGGGGTGGGAGGCGTCTGAGCAGATTCAGACAACGAGCTCTGCGGTGAGTGTTTGGGCAACTGAGATAGAGACATATAATCCAGTTTGGGAGCTGCCTCGGGTCTCCTGAAAGCATTCACATCAAAGATGGACTTCCTCTGTTTGGGTTTTTTGTAGATGGAGAGCTGAGTGCACTCAGGAAGAGAAGCTCCCGCTATGACTTTAGGCCAAGTGCCTCCGCTGGCCTTCACCGGAGAGCTCTGTACTTGGTCCACGGCAGCCTGAGGTGAGCTGCAGTCAGAGTGAACAGGGGTGAAGGTGAAGGGGCGATGGTGGAGGTCCTGCCTCCTGTAGCAGAACTCTGGATGGGGCTCTGAGGAACTGTGGGAGGTGGAAAGGGAGCGGGAGTGGAGGGAGCTGTTGGAAAAGGGTTTGTGGTGGGAATGGGCGCTGATGCTGCTGCTGTCCAGAGAGTCTCCTGCATCTTTACACGTGTCCTCCTCTCTGCTGCCCAGATCGCAGCTGCACATGTCCGTCTGCGTGGAGCAGTTGTGCTTAGAGTTCCTGCAGTTCCTGGCGTGGACCTCACAGGTTTGTAGTCGAGAGACCTTCTCTGAGTCTCTCAAAGTTTCAAATAAACTCTGGCCAGAGGAGCTCTGTGGGAGGAACTGTCATGGAAGGGAGGTAGATTCTTAATTATTAAGTGACGACAAACTATACGAATAAAAAATCATCTTTGTGAGCAACTCGCAGTGGGATGTAAGATATTATGCAAAAAGGAAAAGATACTGGTGACATTTATAAGCAAACTTTCCATCAAGAAAACGCATCTTTTGTCTTCAAACCAGCTGAAATTTAGCAAAAGTTCTAGATTACGACTTTCCTACAGAACAGTACAGCAGTATCTATGTTTTTATAATTTTCTTTGTCACAGGGGTGGTTGAAGTGAGCAGATAAAACAGCGTGAGAGAGATTCTGTGTGGCTCTGAGGGATTCACCTTCATGAGGGAGATGCTCAGAGAACTGCGGCAGTTCCTCAGCAGAGACTCGCATTCAGACAGCGACTTGTTTTCGAGTGCAATTCCATTAATCTGTACGAGAGCAAAAAAAAATCACAGAAATTACAACCTGCTTGCCAAGAAAAGACAATAAGTACCCTGTTTTGCTGAGACATCTCAAACTTCACTGATTTTTGAGTGAACACAATGGACAGAAACCGTCTTCATCCAAACTTTGATGAAATGTCAAATGATCCAGTCATTAGATAGATTTCCTACACTAACTACCACAACAACACACTGTGAAGATAAGTCGAGAACACACACATCTGTATATTGTAATTCTGAGATACCAATCCAGTGTGTTCCCTGATTCTAACACAACATGTGGTCAGTAGAGGGCACTAGAGGACAGGGTTAATGCCCAGTCTCTTAGCGTTAGACAGACTCTTGTCTTTTAACTTCAACAAGTTGGTTAGCACCGTCGCCTCACAGCTAGAAGGTCGCCGGTTGGCGTCCCGGTGAGGACACCCGGGATCTTCCTGCGTGGAGTCTCCATGTTCTCCCCGTGCAGCGTGGGTTCTCTCCGGGTTCTCCGGCTTCCTCCCACAGTCCAGAAACATGCTGAGGTTAATCGGTGATTGTAAATTGTCCGTAGGTGTGAATGCGAGTGTGCTTGGTTGTCTGTCTCTAAGTGTAGCCCTGTGATAGACTGGTTACCTGTCCAGGTGAACCTGCCTTCACCCTTAGTCAGCTGGGATAGACTCCAGTGACCCTAGTGAGGATTAAGCGGTGTATAGATAATAGATGGATGGAAGTTGTGGTGAGCATACTCACAGCTAGCAGTCGGTCACCAACAGTCAGGTTGCAGTCTCTGGCAGCTGGACTTCCTGAAGCCAAAGTGGCAACAAACACTCCACTTTCCAAACCTATCCCACTGTCTGCAGGGTGAGAGAGAAGCAACATGCAAATCACATTTATGTTCATCACCCACAATAACCATCACATGTACAGTCCAGTAGCGGTCTATATGTCTTGTAATATATACACTCTGCGCTGGAATGTCATCAGTAGCTCTTAATTGGAGCTTAAAGCTGACCTTTGTGTCCAGCCAGGTTTATCTGGACCGGCGTGACGATCCGTCCTCCCAGAGACTTCCTCCTGCGAACCACCATATTGATCACGCCCTCGCCGCTCAGCACAGTTTTGATCACCTGCTTCCTGTCCTTGTTGGTCAGGTCCACATCATTAATTTTCAACAACCAATCGTTCACCCTGCGCAGTGAGAACACAGCAACGGTTCAATTAATCAAAGTCCTCTAAAAGAAAGTCATGACACAGCTGCAGTGTAAAGCTGGACGTTGAACCTCAATGCTTAACATCAGCCTGTAGCACTGAGCACGGAAAGAGTCAAACACAGCAGTAAATGCACGGTCAGAGTATTTAGATCGTTTTTTTTCTTAAGTCAGATATTTTGGAAAGCTTTTTTTTTTAACTCTTAAGTGAACACGCTGTATTTTCTTCCTAAAAATAAATCAAAATAACCGTTTTTTGAGGCCTCAAATGATCCGACACAAACGTAAAACTTGCTTTATAGACTGTGGTGATTTACCTTAACCTTCCTTCAGCAATACTTCCTTTATCCACCTTAGTGACAAATATCCCGCAGTCTCCTGGTAAATAGGGATCATTTACCCCTTCTGCAATATCAAACCCGAGTGCCTTCAAATCCATGTCCTGACAAAAAAAAAATAAAGACACCAGTAAGAAGTTAGTTCCTTTGACAGGAAATTAGACAACTTCTTGACTTTTACTTTAATTTAAATCTGAGAAAACTGAGTGATTCTTACTCTGTGCTTCTCCAACTCAACAACTTCCGTCTCCCACTCCATCGAGTCCGTGTCTATGGCTGAATCGTGTGAACTGTGAGCCATCAGCTGACGGTATCGTGCCTCTTTTTCCAACTGGTCCTCCAACTTTTCTCTGTAGGAAACATGAACTTTATCACTATTCATTAAGTACAAGTAACATCAGTCAGTAGCACAGATCCTCCACTTGGGGGCGCAGAAGAGCCCTAAACAACAGCAACGCTCACTCAAATGCAACCTGATGAATCAGAATATAAAACGGAGCAGAATGTGGCATATGTCAGCGAGGAATTAAAACAAAAGGCGTGGAGGAGAGACGCACTTGAGTTCTTTGAGTTCCCGCGCAGCATCGTTCTTCTGCTTCCTCGTGTCATCCAGGTTCCTCAGAGCGTCTGCCAGATCACTCACGGCTCGGTCCCGCTCTCGTCTCAGGTTGTCACACAGCGTGCTGGGAGACGCATACATTTTCATCAGGTGTCAGGGAAAACATAAACAAATCTATTTTTACCCACGTCTGCCTGCACCGACACGCACAGCCAATGTGACATTTTCTCCACATTACACAGATTGGCATCCTCACCGTATGCTCTCCCTCTCTGCCACGATCTTGTCCCTCTCCTGGAAGGCCCAGTCCCGGCGGCACTTGGCCACCTCGGCCTCCTGCAGGGCCTCCTTCAGCTCCTGAGAGATGGCTTCGTACTGCTTCCTCAGCATGTCGATCTCCTTGTTGGCTCGCTCCATGTCCAGAGTGGCACAGTCCTGTTTCTGGAGATGTGGGACGAAACACTCGGTGATCATCAGACATCAGTACTGTTAGTCCAAACAGACACATGTTGCTGCAGAAACGTAGAAAGTGTTGCTATAAAACGTCCAGATGTTTTAATCAGACACATCGGAGACCCTCGAGGCTGCGTTCACCCCAACGTTAGCATTCTATCAAACATGTAGCACTCGTTAAATTCAATGAGACCACAGCAGCGTCTCAGCAGGGTTTCTCAGAACAGGCGCTGTCAAAAATAAACAATAAAATAAAAAAAGTCATCTGGAAGCAAGTTGAATCAGGCTCAGCTTCAGAAGCAACACAGTGAAACATCAACCCAACGCATCTGCCTCATGCAAATCCTCTCCCGGTAGATAAATGGTGTTAATTCGTCCTTTAAGCTGCACAGCAACTTAGCAAAGGAGCAACATCGAGTGTCGTGTTGACATAAGCAGCGGTTCTTTGCTTTGGCGTGTCAACCCTTTAAGATCAGACAGTAGAGCTCGCGGTACTGACAAGCTCTGAGGTTGTCGGTTCTGTTCCTGGAACTACAGAAATTCTAAAACACATTTTCAGCTCTGTTTAGATTTGCAGTGAGACACACAGAACATGCTGAGGAGCAGCAGCAGCACTCATAGATTCTGCTTTTAATGGCATTAGTGGTGAGAAAAGAGTTCACAACACTTCATTAAAGTTCAGACAGTTTTCTCTGCAGCATATACCAGAAACCTTCTGCATGTGAGATCAGTCTGTCAAAGCATCTCACAAAAATGCATCACATGCAGACGGAGAAATGCAGTTTTTGACTGCCGAGCCCATAATTCATGTCGTGTTGCCCCAGGTAGTTTGTGCATGTTAGCAACCTAAAGTCCACACCCAGAGTTAAGAAAACTGTAAAAACATGGATTAATGATTAAAAGTAAACATCAGAGTTCATTGTTTAGCTTTGGGAGCATTCAGAATAGTCAGAGCATCATCTCCAGAACACAGAAACTCACAGTTTCAGGTTTAAAGTACCAAGAACAAGGGAGGAGTAAAAAACTGCAGTAAAAACTTTACTTTCACATTTTCTCCAACTGAATGTTTGAGCGGCAGAAGAAATGCAAACGTTTATTCTGATGTAAAACTAGTAAAAAGTACTGTCAAAGAAAAAGTCCTGCATTAAAAGAGAACTTAAAAAAGACAAAATTAAGCTACATTAACTCAGGTCTTACTCTGTCTTGTTTTTTTAATCCTAAAAATATAAGAAAAAGAAGTGATAGGAGTACCATTAAAGTATCGGATCGATTCAGCATCAGTACTAGTAGTAATATCCTAAAAGCTCATCCCTACTCACTGATGTAGGACCTAAAATACACTTTGGCTGTGACTAGTCTTCCTACGTGAACCATCCTGCATTTTTAATGAACTCTGAAGGCTTTACTGGTAAAGAAATAAAATATATTTATATGTATATATAAAAATCTGTGTTCAGCGGCTCTGCAAATGTTTTGAAAAGGAAAGCTCCCAACTGATTCAGTCCATCCTAAAATAAACTGCTTCAGACTAAAACGTAACGTCGGCCCATGACGTAAAGAGAAACTGTCGTAGAGTCGGACACGGTAGCGCCGCTTGAAGTGGGTCAAAACAAATAAAAAGTGCATCTATAAGACATCATCCTCTTTCAAATACCTGCACAGTAACAAGACTCTAGTGTAGAGTTGTGACTAATTATTATCTTCATTTTCAATCAATCGGTCAAATACGTTCCTAACAAGTTGTTTGGCCTCCAGAATGTGAGAAAACAGTGAAAGATGTCACTCAGTGTTTCCTAAAGCCAAAGACGACATCCTCTAATGTCTGGTTTTGTCCACAATCCAAATATGTTCAGTTTACTGTCACAGAGGAGGAAAGAAAAGAGAAAAGATTCACATTTAAGACGCTGGAATCAGAGAATTTTTACTTTTCTTCTTTAAAAAAATGGCTCAAACCTACTAATCAATGAAAACAGGTTGACTATTAGTTTCATCTTTAACATATTTACCCAATTAATCGTTGCAGGTCTGTTTTAGTGTAGTGCGAGCATCAATTAATTCTGCTGCTAAATAAATTCCATCAGTCTCTACAGTGCCGTTGTTTGGCTTAAATATCCGTTTGTGACGCATTGCAGTGCTCTGGTGGGGTTCAAAGTCAGGCCGAGGCTTCAGGCTGTAGCTGCTGGTAATTTCCTAATGCAGGAATCCAACGTTCTTTGTCATTAATCTGAAATTCACTAAAAACAGAGCGATGGGTGACAACGAAAAATCAATGTGTGGAAACCGCCCAGCTGATGAAAAAAACATCTACTACGACTATACGAGATGGAACGAAGGGATTACTGCGAGTGAAATAAATCAATCCCTCCATTTGCGATGACAAATCACCCGTCTGTCCGGCTACCTGTCTGGCCTGGTAATACTCCCGCAGCAGCTGGTCCCTCTGGATGATGGCCTCCGTCCTCTCCTTGCGGGCCACGTCCCTCTCCTCCCGCACCGTCTCGATGTCTTTGCAGGCCTGGCTCAGCTCCTTCTGGGCCTCCGTCTTGTCCTTCACCTCGTGGCAGTACTTCTCCAGCAGCTCGTTCTTCTCGCACACTGCCCGGTCCCGGTCCACCAGCGACGAGGCCAGCTCCTTCACGGGACAGAGGGGATTAGTGTTTCAGTGACAGTGAAATAAATGTCACTTCTGAGAGCATTTATGTTAAATTAGACAAGAACTTTGACATCACAGGAACTTATTTCGTAGCCGTGGCAACAGAACTGACCCCTCTGGGATGAATAAAGTCTTATCTCACTGAGCAAAGGGGTGTCACACACAAAAACATCCTACTAGGTGAAGACTAGACGAGGTGTTTGGTGAGAAATTACTAAACTGGTCTTGTCTGGGTTTTTAGTTTTCGTTTCTCCGTTCTGATTTGTAGGGCAGTTCCCTCTGACCTGAACTGAACTGTGGCCTTTCAACGATGACACGTGATTGCTTTTTGGCCGGCCTAGAGCCTTTGGGTGTTGCCAAAATGAATGACGGCAGCAGCAATAACCAGCTTAACGACAGAGGACGCATTTGGAACAGACATTATGCAATTAGTGCTTCTTCATCGACAGGTTTACTCAGATTACTTTCCAAACGTTCACCTATCTACATCACAGATACGACTCAACACGTCCATGACACGCTTTCTCTCCACTGTTCTTCAATCCTAAAAGGTTCAATCCGTTCATTCACTATGTGGCTGAAGGAGCCTTCGGTTCAGCAGCTACCTGTCTGAGCGCCTCCAGCTCCTCGTTGGCCACCCGTCTTTCCGAAGAAGTGTTCTTGAGCTTCGCCTCTGCCACCTCCAGCCCCGTCTGAAGCCTGTCCACCTCTTTGATCACCTGGTCCCTCTCGCTCATGATCAGGCGGTACTCGCTGATCACGGAGTCTCGCTCCTCCTTGAATTTCTCACAGTCCTTCGCCGCCTTCAGCTGCTGGGTCTTCAGCCGCGTCGTCTCCGACTGCAGCCGGTCCATCTCGCGCTGCAGCTCCTTGTTCTGAGCGGCGGCCTTGGACAGTTCTTGCTGCGTGTTGTCAAACCTGCATCGGGGAACGTAGGAGATTCATCAACGCTTTATACACGTTGCATCTTGTAGATTAAAAACAAAAAGTATCGTAGCCTGTATCCCCACAGACTGACCAAGTCTGCAGTCGGACGATCATAAAGGAAAACTTAAAAGGGAGGCATCTGCTCATCTCCAGAGCTTCATCTGCCTTGGATTAGGCATGTTTTAAGTCCTGGGCAGATTTTAGTTTGGCGCTGAACACAAGTACTCAGTTCGTAGCATAATTTACTGCAACTGCTGTTCATCATTAGTCTTTTTTTTTGTTTTTGCGTTCAGCTCGTGGTGCTTCTGGTTTGTGTGCCTGTGATGTTTCCAGCTTTACCTTCTGATGGAAGAGGAGTACTGCTGCTGGTAGTGGATGGCAGCGTCTCTCTGCTTCAGCAGCATATCCAGCTGCTTCTGCAGCCGGTGGTTCTCCTCCTCCGCCTGGTCCAAGCGGCTCAGGTCTGCGTTGTGATTGGCCGTCTTGTCGTTGTAGTGCTTCCTCAGAGCCTCGTAATCACTTTTCATGGCCTCCAGCTTGTCCACAGCTGTGTCATACAGCTTGTTGAGGACATCAGATGAGCCCTCTCTCATCACCTGGAAATGACATAACACAGACGCATCAGTGAGTAAGAAGGGCGCGATGAGATCGCTCATTTCATTCATCTGTGGTGTGTTCAGACAGCGACAGCGTGGATGTTTCCAAACATCGTTTCAGTGTAAATATATATAAATATGATGATTGATTCCATTACATGTACATCTATTGTTCAGTTTAGCTAAAAATGTCTTGGCACAGAAAAGTCAGTTAATTTCTTAAGTAATTAATTAAAGCGAAGGCTCTTCACTGCATGCTGAGCTCGGAGGCCAGAGCAGGACAGATCCTAGACAGTGGAAGGCCTGACTTTACTTGATGGACAGAAACATGCAGAAAGAGCAGTGCTACGCTGGTGCTATGCTGGTGCTACGCTGGTGCTACGCTGGTGCTACGCTGGTGCTACGCTGGTGCTACGCTGGTGCTGCACGTTCCTACAAAGTTCAACTCTCTCAAACTGGTTTCTCAGCTCTCTGGATGAAAGGAGTTCAATAAATTAAGAGAAAAGTGCTCTTGCTGAACTTTACGATGTATATTACTGTACATGTCTGTGGTGTGACCGCTCTGTCTTCTGTCTCTTCATGCAATCCCAGACTGACTCAGTGATTATAAGACATTGATGGAATCTGAACAGAAGTGCCTAAAACTTCCACACAGTGCTGCACATAGAGACGTACACTAACAGCAGCAGCGCTCCCACTGACGTTTAAACAACCTGCTGGTTTGCCTGTTTGATTTGGTTTGTTTAACCAGTTGTAAAAGCTGAACTGCACTACGCACCAAACAACTAAGACAGCCTTAAAAAGTGGGTGTTGGTCGGCTTCCAGTCATAGTCTGGTGTCACCTGGGACGAGCAGTTCACCACAAATGTGATTCTACCACCAGTTCTGAAGCTGAACTACGATTTATCAGTTAAATGATCGACCGGTACGACTTTTACTTTTTTTTTTTTTTTTAGGGCCAGTACCAATTAATAGCAGTCAGCGGGAACAAACACTGAAGCAAAAATGAAACTCCTGGTGTCTAAACACACGACGGAGCTGAAATAACTGTTTATTTATGGTTTTTCCAAGTTTAATTAAATGATCATCCTGTGGTGTTCATAGGCTGCTGCTGGTGCCTACAGCTGGAGAGAGTCAAGAACTGGTTTAATATCATATCTGATCACCGTTCGACCCCTTCTTCAATGCACTGATCGTTAGGATACCCCAATATCACATTCTAGATGGTTTAATGGTGATTAAGCACAATCTCAGTCAGAAACCTTTGCTGCGTGCCACATGCTCCTCACTTCTCCCCCATATTTCCTGTCTGCCTCTGTTTTCAAGTATGAACCAAACTACGTTTTTACTAAAATGCAACGTGGCGGCCATGGTAACCATGGTAACCCAGGTACACAGGAGGGCAGGACTTTGCCTGACACATTGGAAAGTCCCTCATTTTGGCCGTTTCTCATTTTGCTAACCATTAATCCGTCTGAGTTCCTTGTCCAGGTCTAGAAAATCTGGGATACGTATGAATAATATACACATGCGTTACCAAGTTCTGTAACCGATGTGACCTGTTGATGGCGTTCATTTATACATCTATGCATTCTGGAGGCTGTCTGCCTTCACATACTGTACTGAGGAGGGTTCTGAGGAAAGTTATTACTAAGGTGATTTATTATTGATTATTATCTTTGTAATGTAATAGCATCCTTTTAGTACGTGCAGCCTGTGATTACAGGTTCATCTATTTCATCAACTGAATTTCCCTTCTGGGATAAATAAAGTATTTTTCATTTCATTTTTTTCATTTCATCTACGTACACATCCTGCAAGTCTACGCATTTCCAGAACGTGGTTGGAAGGTTGAAGCATTTGCATCCTTTTTTTCAGCATATTTATTGTTTTTGTTGTTGAAAGTTGTCATTCAGTTAAATGTCGCTTCGTGCTTCCTGCCTTCCTACAGTACGTGGGGAATGCTGATTGGTTGCAGCTACAGCCACTTCCTATTTACAGTTCTGCACTGAAACGTTGTGAATAAATGGATTTCAGTGAGTTAGACAGCAGGTGGGAGTATATTTGAAAATTTTGTCAGTTTTTCATTAAAAATAAAAACTAATAAACAAAATCTCTGAGATGTAACGACGACACATAAACGTTAAATACACTCAGATGTGTGCACTAAGTCCAGCCCGACCTGCAGCCAGCTGACTGAATAAACATTAGCTTGACTTTCTTCCACAGGTTCATGCAGCGGTAATGATATGCGCTGAACCCAATGAACTCTGACTTTGTTAGTCATGAATTAGCACAAACTTAAACCTAAAGGCAAAACTCCAGTGTTTGTTCCAGGCTACTTCAGCAGACCTGCCTCCACATATATATAGACATATATTATAAATCCACACAGACATCCTTCCAGATGCATTTTATTGCATCAGATAGAAGTTCTGGACAGAGCACTAAACGGGGGAAACACTTCACACAAGAGACAGTACACTCTGTCGTATGTGACTGCCATCTAACAGCTATAAAGGTACATTTGGACTGATGTCACTTTACTAATTTGATTTCTGATTTGACTGAACAGTAGTTTATCTAATGTGGATGTGAGCTCTGCAGACAAGCATTACATGGTTATATAAGGTACTGCAAACATTTAATGACACGACCTCCTGACTGCAGCGAGGCCGAATGTATGTCAGACGGAGGAACAGCGGGAGACGCAGGTTAAGTCGTTTTTCTAATTTGAGAGAATGTTTTGATCGATGGAGACATGGGAGGATCAAGCCTGTCTGACCCCATTTGTCTGAACAATGTTGCCTCGGTGATGGTCACCACGACAGGAATAAATTAAATTCTGTCTCAAATGTCAAGATCCATGCGATAGGATCTCAAGGGCATCCACAGATGGAAATGAGTGTCTGAGCAGTGTGTGCCGACAGTGAGCGTCTGTTTGCTTGCAGATCTATTTATAATAAGCGTGAATGGTGGTGAGACGTCCGGTTGTGCAGGTACCTGCTGGTGCAGCATCCTCATATCGGCCACCTCCCTCTGGTCGTCGTCATGCAGCCTCCTCAGCTCCTCGCAGGCCTGCTTCACGTGGTTGTGCTCCCTGACCAGCTGGATGTTGTCCTGTCTCACGGCCTCCAGCTCCTCTTTCAGCTGGGTGTGCTCGCTGGCCAGACGGCTGTGCAGCGTGCTGTGGAGACACCGCAACAGGTACAAACGGGCCGTCACCAGCCGGGCTTCACAGCAGCATCACAACACCGAAAATACGGTGATGACAAGAATATCACAGCACAACAAATGTTCAACTCATGGTTTATCACAGAAGAAGACTGTTTTCAGATTATTTCTTAGTCTGTTAGTTTAAAAAAGGATCTGGGGATGTCTTCAAACTGGCTTATTAAGAATATTTGAGTTTGTATTGCATGAGACTGCTTACATGAATCATTGAAACCGTCTTTCCAATCAACTGTCATCATTTCAGCCCAATAATGCTTCAATTTCTGGAAATTCAAAGCATGATTTCACACTCAGCCGTATCTCTAGATGTGACCGGCTCAAATCCACGCCAACAACTTTGTAAAACAAACTTCACGGTCACGTATGTGTGTTATGATCCTGTGTCCAATATGGTTTTTAATCGTTTCATCTCCTGCCTTACATGCATGTAAATAAGGAAAAATCTGCCTAAATTAAAAACAAACAACAATAAACCCAGGATATTTCAGTCTGGGTTCTGAGGGTGCACTTTGTAGTCTTTAAGGTCATTTGGAATAACTTAATTACACGTTAATATTTTAAGTACTGGCTCAATATCACACCAAGTCTTTTTATTATTCAGTTCTATATTAATATGAACAGAAATAATTCATTAACTGTACAAACATGAGTCACTAATGGCGCCGATAAAATCCTCCATGATGACTGAGTGTTAATGCCTGCCTATGTGTTAAGTGACTTATTGATCTAAGTACAATACAACAGACATGAATGTGTTTTTCCATTGACAGCGCATGGTGCTTAGTGTGAATGGATAAGTGCAGAGGCAGACGGGATAGTAATAAATAAAGACCTTCTCTGATGTGCAAACAGGGCCCAGAAGGAGAGGCTTAAACATGGCAATAATCCTTCATCTGTCTGTTTGCATCGGGGGCCAGATGTTGGTTCCCTACACTTTGGAGACAGTATGGCATCATTAAATCACACAAATGGACCAGCCTTCCCTCCATGTCAACTCGGCACAGCTTATTTCGCCGGACAACAAATGCTCTGTTTGTAGCATTATCCTCGTGGCGCAGATGCCGTGCCACGCAAACAGGGTTCATATACTGATTACAGAGCATGCTTTGGCATGAAGAAGGGCATTACTTATCAAGAAGTAATTCGGCCTCCTCTGCGCTCAACCTTTGGTCTGAAAATATGACTCGGGATTTATGTGACGGAGAAGACAATAAAAACTGCTTTTCTAAAAACAATCACAAAAATTACATTAAAGTCATGAAGAGCTGCGAGGATTTTTTTCATGGCTTAACTCATCAGCTTTTGGATTGGTATAAAGGCTTCATCCCTATTACTCCTGCAAAAATCAAATCTGTTCTATGCAATCTGCTGTGAATATGTCAGACGGGGAACCGAACAGCGTCTAAAACCCTGCAGGCTGAGCATGAATGCATACAGCACAAATGCACCGGCTCTTAAAAAATTTACAGAGTCCCTGTAGTAGGCTTTCCACTTACTGGTAGAAGTCGGCCTTCTTCACAGCCTCCTCGCACCTCTTCAGGGTGGTGCTGTGCTGGTTCTGCAGGGACTGCAGGTCTGCCATTGCCTTCATGCACTGCAGCTTGAGACGCTCGTAGTCATGACCTGCTTTGGCGTTTGGTCTATTTCACAGAGAGAGGAAACAAAAATGCAATGCATCAAAATCTAGTTTGAAGACGCCACACGGGAGAAGCATGAGTGAGATAAACATCATTCAAACTTAGTGCTTAGGAGGGCGCGATGAGAGAGAAGCATCCTTAAAACTGGATGTTTACGGCTTGTTTTACAGAGCGGAGCATATCTTAAGACAAGTCTGCGTCACATAGCGCTCCATGTTTTCTTCTTTTTGTTGTTGCTTTTAAGTGAAGAAGGCAAAATGCATCTATTCACGACGTGCAGGTACACACAGGACCACGGCGCTTTTCTGCAAATGTTTGTTTTGGGAAAACGGGCGGCGAGGTGCACGAGGTGGGAACAGTACCTGCAGTCATCGAAGGTGGTTCCAGGTGAGGAGAGGGCCAGACGTTTGCGTAGGTCGTCCCTCTCGCGCGTCACATGTCTCAGCTGGAACAGAACCGTCTCCATCTTCTCGCTCACCTGGTGGCCCTCCATGTGGGCGGGCGGAGGGGAGGAGGCTTGACCGGGAGTACCTGTGTGAGTCAGCATGTCACTGGTGGCATGTGCCGTTCACAGAGCTCACATGATGGAGGGAGTTAGCTTCATCGATTCCTTTCTAAAGCTCGCTCATGTCACTGAGTCAAGGTGTAGATCTGAGGTGTGCTTTCACATAAAAACACAAAAATCTGGAGCATTTTTACTTAAAATTTGACCAGAAAGACAAAATAAAAACCCAAACACTAGTGTGCCTGTGAGTTTCAATAGTACAGCACTGAACCAATCAGAAGCTATTTGCTGTTAGATGGGAAATCTATAGCTTCCTGTCCAGTACGATACGAGGAACACCTTTAGCACCGTCTCACTAGAAGCCAAAAACCGGTTAAATATTGCCCTTCATCACTCATCTACCTTGCTGTTGTATTCATTAACCTCACGACTTGTGAGTTTATGACACAGATATCAACCTACTGATACAGATTTTCTTTCGCTACCGTGAAACAGTCAAATTCTCTCGCCCTCACAATGACTGAACGGGTCTGTGTGTGTGTGTGTGTGTGTGTGTGTTGGGGGTAGAGAGTTTCTAAATCCTTCTCACATCTGTGTAATCACTTGCATGTGCTCAGAGTCCAAACAGACGGCAACCAGTGACTATTATTTATAAAACTGTGCTTGGCTCCTTTTATTTCTCTCTCTCTCTCCGGGGAAGATCATGCTTTCATTGGCGTTTCTTTACCTTAAATCCGCACACCGCCGCGAGAGCCACACTCACCTAAGCTGCTGAGAGAGCTGCTGCTCTCCGAGTCCGACGGCATGGTGGACAGGACGCTGTAAGTGGACCCTGCGAGGCGAACAAAAACATTAAAGTCAGCTCCGAGTGTACTCGACCATGTCTGCATTATAGTCAGATGATTATCTCCAGCATTGTATGGCACATCAAGGCTGTGCAGCTTGGGTTACATTCAGGAGCCTTCGCTGAAAAAAGGCCAGCTGGAGGAATAATAAGGTGGGACTTTCCCCAACTTGGGATGACGGGCCTGTGGGCTGACAGCAGAGTGTAGCTAATTATCAGTTGGGCAGGGAGCTTGAATACTGACTAGCCAGGGCCCCAAAGAGGCTGCAGCCTTAGAGCTTCTCCTTTTATCTCCTCTGACAACATCACACAGTCCCCCCTGTGAAAGCCCCTTCTTTTATAGCCTACAGTGATTCATAATTAACTGTACAGAAAGGAAGCTGCAGCACAACACGACGCGTTACCATCACGTTATCTGACAAACAAACGCAAAAAGTAATTCTTGGAGAAGTTACTACGACCGGCGCGGCTCGTTTTCATCCTCCGTAATCCACTTATTTGTTTTTCCAATTATGCAATTTAGGCCTCCGCGTTTAGAATCTACGCAAAAAGGGAAAATCTGAAGTCAGAAATAGAGCTGGACCGCCATTACTGCCTTCATCTGGAAACTAAAGCTATTTTCTATTTATAGATTTATCTACTAATTAATTTGGCAAGCCATCATTTGGTCTATAAAAATGTTAAACATCATATTTTACTGTCAACAAACTCTAACGAGGCAGTTCGCGGGGCCTTGCTTGCAAATTTACTCTTATGCTAATTAATCACTTATCAATATAGCTGAGCATCTTTTTTCTATAAATCAAACAGTTTATTAACTGATCAGTTATTGCTGCTACAACATGTCACCACCCAAGGAGACGTCTTCAAACTGCTTCGTCTAATTATCCGTCGACATATATTGATTTTATAAATTACAGAAAACCAAGCAAATGTTTGCCAAACTCACAGCTATGAACAGATTATCAAAACGGCTGTAATTAACGCCGAGTTGATTCAGCAGCACTGCTCAGCCATTTACTCGTCGTCTAATAAGTTCCTCCACACAGAGCGTTTCAGAAAATGGGGATCTTAATGATGCTTGAGGGGTTTAAGAGACTGCACAGGCCTTGATCAAACAGCCAGCAGTGCACATTCACTGAGATCTTACTTGGCTGTGGAATGAGCAGCTTATAGTTCAGTTAAATCAGCAACTTCCATCCCTGATGTAAAGTCTAGTGTAGACTTGGAGCAGGAGCATGACAAACGATCCTATTTACCCACGTCCCAGTACTCTAAATCAATCCCTGGCTGGCTGAGTTCCCACTATTTAAAGGAGACTATGAGTTGAGACTACGAGGAGCCCAGCTAGCACGGCTCACCCCTCTTTTTCCCAGCGAAGGACTAAAAGAAAAAAGAAAAGAGGAAAAAAAAAAAAAAAAAAAGACTGATGTGCCTCAGGAACCGTGGCATCCCATGGATCAAGCTCTCTTTGTTCTCGCTCTAGCTTAAGTTTCCCATGACTCGGAGCAGAGAGTGCCTCAATGGGCAAGGTGCACTGTGTCATAGCTCGCTCACTTCTCTGCTTCATGTAAGTCATATGACCAGGACCTCGCCGTGGTCTGACCTTCACCACTCACTATCTCATTTAGCTTGATCTCTTGGTTACAGTCGCAGCCATTTGATGATCTTTGGACATTTTTTTTTTCTCAAAGTGCTTTACAAGAACCAAAGTGAAGGCGGGAGGGGGGAGAGTTTAGTCTACGGACGAACATCATTTATCTCAGAGCTGGAAACAGGAGCTCCGATACAAAGTGCTGATACCATCTAAAAATCACATCTGGCACTCTGCTCCACTGATAATGAACGGAAAAATACTGGATCTTGTGGCCTTTCCATGAAAGCTGCTGCGTGTTCCTGCTCAGCTGTGACAGATCTACAGTAGGTTAGACATCAGTGTACTGCATGTGGGTGTATGAGGGGGCTGCAGGGTGGCTCAGTGGTTAGCACCG